CTCTGCCCACTCTGCAGCCTCATCTCCCGCTTGTCCACAGCCTGCCCTCAAACCTACGCCTCTTGCAATGCCTCCCACATGCCCTGGCTCCTTCATCCTCAAGACTGAGCGTTCCCCTCTGCTGAGATGAGTGTGCCCCTGGCCATCTAAGGGAGGGCGCTGTCGCATTTGTGAGTGACGAGGTGGCTCAGATGTCACCTCCTATGTCAAACAGACCCTCAACGCTCTTGCTGCCCTTCCTCCCCAGAGTGCTCTCGCAGGGTCAGTGACCACGCCGGCTTCGCAGTGCGGTCCTGTGGTTCCATGTGTCTCCTCCAGACGGGACTGTGCCCTCTCCCTCAGATGTCCCCAGAACCCAGCATGGAGCTCATCCCAGGGAGGGGCTGCGATGCCAGCGTTGATGCAAAGCAAAACGTCCGTGTCTTAGAGGTCGGGGAGTGAGGAGGCAGGAGGGAGACACCTTCTCCGCGTTGTTCAAACGCACTCCCTGTCTCTTCTCACTGTCTCCCGTGGGCCTCGGCTCAGGGACAGCTCCAACTGCCAGACCTCAGACAGATGCAGGCAAGATCAGGTGTGGTGTCCTTGCCCCGTGTCTGCAACCCCTCCCCCTCCACATCGCACATGAATTCCAAAGTGAAGGCCAAAATCCAGGAGGCCTGGACTTCCTAATTTGCTTCCTCAGCCCTGTCCCAGATTGCCACCAGATCTCCAGCTGCTCCTACATCGTGGAAGGGGAACAACTGGCCGGGTTCCGTCCACACAGTGCCCCCAAGCCCCTCGGGCCCAGCCAGGGCATTACAGAGCTCTGGTTACAAAGACGTGCCACCATGAACTTGACTGCTGCATCTGGCCCCTACACCGAGTTGTGCAGTAGTCAGTGGGCCCTCTGATGTGTGCCTGATACAGAGGCCTCATCAGGAAATATCACACGGGGCACCCAGCCATCCCCCACCGGTATTTCTAGCTCTTCATTCACTTAGCACATACTGTTGAGTGCCTACTGTGTGCCGGGTACTAAGTTCGGGGAACACAGCAGAGAATAAGGCAGTGCGTGCTCCCTCTCTCATAGAACTTCAGTTCTTGTGTGTGAGGGGTGGGGAGGGTGCAGCAGACAACACAGAAAGCAGCAGGAAAAGATCACAGCGTGACAGGCACTAGCTAGGCTGGGCACCACACAGGGCTGCTGGGAAGAGCACTTGGCCTAGAGGGTAAGGCACACACCCACATTTCACTTCGGAGTGCTGGATTTGAGTCTGGGCTCTGGATCTCAATTCCAGCTCTGCGAAGGAAGACTCCAGGAGGCAGCAGGTAATAGCTCAAGTGGTTGGATTCTTTCCACGCATATGAAGGACCTGGTCCGGGTTCCTGGCTGCTGGCTTTGGCCTGGCCCAGTCCCAGCCATTGTGGGCATCTGCTGAGTGAATCAGCAGATGGGAGCTCTCTCTCTCCCTCTCTCCTCCCCTACTCCTTCTCAAATGATGAAAAATAGAGGGAGGAGGTGCCATGGCAGAGGATGATGGGGCAGCTCCTTCAGGGTAGGTGGTCTCCAAGAAGGCAACATTTAAATGGAGAAGCAGGGGGCAGTCAGGGAAGCTGAGGAATTGCATTCTAGGCTAAAGGAGCAGCAGGGATGGAAAGCCTAAGGCAGACAAGAGCTTGACCTTCGGAGGAACCGGGGCATCAGTGCCCGGCACATGAGCATGGGAGGGAAGGGAACATGAGAGGAGAGGAGGGCCAGAGGCCAGCAAGGCCATCCTGCAGGAGGGCTTATGCCAAACATGAGGGGAGGGTCCTGGAGGACTTTAGCCCCAGAAAACCAGCAGCCCCGGCCAGCTACCGTCCCCTACCCCGCACCTGTAACACTGCTTCTCTCTCTCTCCTTCTTTCCCCCTCCTCTCACCCCCTCCCTTGATTTCTAAATTATCACTCAGGCCCTCTTGTCCAAGCCTCTAGGAAACACAACTACCCAAGCAGTTGCAACCTCTCATTCCAAGCATGGTCAGGCTAAGATGAGCCCAAAATCAAAACCACATTTTTGAAAAGAATAGTTTTTAAAAATTTCTCTCAACTCTAAATTACACCTAGAAGAGAAGGGTGAAGGGAGTCCTCTCCCTAGGACACATGGCTATTATAAACATTATAAATGTCCTAGTTTTGGGGTCGGTGCTATGGCACAGAGGGTTAAAGCCCCAGCCTATGGTGCAGGTACTTATCCTGGTCTCCCATGGGGTGCAGGGCCCAAGCACTTGGGCCATCCTCCACTACACTCCCTGGCCACAGCAGAGAGCTGGTACTTATCCTGGCACCATATGGGTGCCAGTTAAAGTCCTGGCTACTCCACTTCTGATCCAGCTCCCTGATAATGCTCCCGGGAAAGCTACAGAAGATAGCCCAAGTCCTTGGGCCCCTGTACCCACATGGGAGACCCAGAAGAAATCCCTGGCTCCTGGCTTTGGATCAGCTCAGCTCCAGCCACTGCGGCCATATAGGGAGTGAACCAGTGGATGGAAAATTCTCTCTCTCTCTCTCTCTCTCTCTCTCAATCTCTCTCTGTAACTCTGTCAAATAAATAAAATAAATCTTTAAAAAAAACATTATGCTGGCCAGCGCCACGGCTCACTAGGCTAATCCTCTGCCTTGCAGCGCCGGCACACCAGGTTCTAGTCCCGGTCAGGGCGCCGGATTCTGTCCCGGTTGCCCCTCTTCCAGGCCAGCTCTCTGCTGTGGCCAGGGAGTGTAGTGGAGGATGGCCCAAGTGCTTGGGCCCTGCACCCCATGGGAGACCAGGATAAGTACCTGGCTCCTGCCATCAGATCAGCGCAGTGCGCCGGCCGCAGTGCACCGGCCGTGGCGGCCATTGGAGGGTGAACCAACGGCAAAAAGGAAGACCTTTCTCTCTGTTCTCTCTGTCTTCTCTCTTTCTCACTGTCCACTTTGCCTGTAAAAAAAAAAAAAAAAAAAAAAAACACACACAACATTATGCTATGAGGAAAGACCCCATGTTATAAGAATATATAAATAAATATCCTAGTTTCCGTTTTCTGTAAAAACTCCTTCAGCCCATGATTGGAGGGTAGGACCCCCATTCTGACTTCCCCAGTAGCAAGACTTGGCCACGTTCCCCTACCTGTAGTCACTACCACGCCATAGCCCAGGGCTCCCCCAGGAGAACGCAGGCTGCGGCTGGACAGCTGGCTCCGGCGGGCTGAGGCGGAGCAGCGCAGCAGGACCTGCGAGCCGGCAGCCCCCAGACCCGACCTTTTCAAGCCCAGACCACAGCAGATATGGCCCAAGATGCCCGGGGGATGCCTGAAACCCCAGATAGCACCCATCTCAGTACAGACCATGTTTCGCCCATGCTACGTCCAGGGACTTCCAAAACTCATGGAAAAATGAAACTAAAAGATAAGCTTAGTTTGGTGCAAAAAAACAAAAACAAAACAAAACAAAACACCACCCAGTGACATCCACGTGGGCCACCGGCTGGAGATGCCTGGTGACTCAGCTCCGCGCTGGAAGCCGTCATCTCTGATTCTGTGGGCTTGACGGTTTCGGGGGCCCCAGGGAAGCGGCCCCACGCGGTGTCGCTCAGCACCGGGTCTCCACAGGGCAGGACTTCCTTCCTAGGTTAGGACTGACGACCACTCCGCCACCCTTGCATCCTGGCTGTTTCCACCAGGCGGCTCCGTGGGCGCTCACGTTGCTACGACACGCGCTGGGTTTCCAAGATGGCTGCCTTCTTCTGCCCCAGATGCAGGAGGCTTGACAGCTGCGCTCAGAGCCTAGCGCCCCGCCCTAAATCCACACCCAGCGGTGCTGGCGATGGCCGCTGAGGGGGCCTGGGCCTGTCCTCGTGGTGGCAGCCCTGGCTGAGGCCGATGCTGGGGGACCAGCTGCCCGTCCCTGCCCAGCGGCTGGCAACTCCTCTGCTCCCTCCCAGGGCCCCCTCCCCCACCCGCCTCCCCTCTGGCTTCCTAACTGGAAGTCTCACCGGGATGCAGCTCCTGCCTGCCTCTTCCATCCCATCACTACCACCCTCCTCCTCCTCTCCCCCTCCCCCACCCCGTTCCTGCCCCGTCCCGGCCCCACCCCCAGCCATACTGAGCTGAGAGGTGCTCTTTCTTAGAGCCACTAGTTCCTTCCTCCTTCCTGAAAGGGCCTTCTTCCTCCTTTGACTGGTTGAGCCCCCGCTGTGCTTCAACACTCAGCTCTGCTGGCACCTCCTCCAGGAAGACTTCTCTGATTCCTCCAGACTGTTAGAAAGCCGCTCTCCAGTCTTCCACCTCCGTCCTAGCACTCTCCACAAGGTTTGGAGGTATAGAGCACGGTCTAGCGTCCCCACTTGGATGCTTTCCTTGAAGGCAGGGACGTGTATATCCCTGGGCACTGAGTCCGGATCCCAGTACTTAGAACATCGCACATCCCTGTGAGGTGCCAAGTGGACGCAGGCACGCAGGCAGCTGACCTGACGGCCCAACCAGCGACCCCAGCGGTGCTGGTTCCGAGGAAGCGTGTGCGTGGCGGCTGCACGTCAGGACGGCCTCACTCCTGAACGAAGTTTGACTTGGCTTTGGGAGAGACCAGAGCCCTTGGGACTGTCAGGAGCCCAGAGAGGCAGCTAGCCCCTGGCTTCTCAGAAGAGAAGAAAGTCACTACGGGCTTTGAACTCTCCCCCACCCCCACCCCCCCTGTCCCCATCAGGTGCCCCGCACCCTTCCTCCTATGCAGGGCTCACACTCTAACACATCCCTCTTCTGAGACCAAACAGCTGGAACTTTCCAGACAACTCTGCAAGGCAGGTAACTGAAAGCTGGAGTCACAAAGCTCCCAAAGGCTCCGGAAAAGGGAGGAGCTGGAAGGTGAGACAGAGCCATGGGGACACAGTTCCAGGAAAACACCAGACTTCCGGCTCTTCCCTACGCAGTCCTCCCTGCTCTCCCATCAGCAAAGTCAAGGGCCCCCACACTCCCTACTAGGCCCAGTCCTGCTCACATTCTCACCTCCCACCTCCAGTGGGCGCTGCTGAGTTAATGGCCTGAACCATGTCGGTGGTGAGAGCGTCCAGGAGGCTGGTGATAAACTCCAGTTTCTTCTCTTCTGGACAGCCTAAAAGATAAAATGAGTTTGAAGACAGACGCCAGGCAAATAATCAAAGAAAACAGCTTTCTCAACTACCATCCGTTCCCAGACCTCTGCAAGTCCTTCTTGTCCAGCCAAATCCACTTTTAGGATTTGTTTACTGCTCAGATGATTCTTATAAACCTCCCTAATTCCTCCACCCCCGGGGGACCAAATGGATAATAATGCTTTAAATTTTCTTCCAGTCCACACATTTTGGCTGAGAACCAACTCAGACGCTACGTTCAAAACTGCGGATACAACAGTGAACAATACACAGGGTCCTTGTCCTTGTGAAGTTCACAAGATTTTGGGGGCTCACTCAGAAGGGCAGGCAGTCCTCCTAGAGTATTAAAAATGCCACTCAAGAAGTAGGAACTAAGTGCTATGGATGCACAACTAGGGGTTGGAGCGGGCACTGTGGCCCAGAAGGTTAAGCCGTTGCTTTCGATGCCAGCATCCCATATCAGAGTGCTGGTTTGAGTCCTGGCTACTCTGCTTCTGATCCAGCTGCCTGCCATTGCACCTGGGAAGGCTGTGGAAGATGCCCAAGCACTTGGGCCCCTGCCATTCATGTGGCAGATCTGGATGGAGTTCCAGGCTCCTGGCTTCAACCTGGTCCAGACCTGGCTGTTGCAGCCATCTGGGTAGTGAACTAGTAGGTGGAAGGTATCTGTGTCTTTATCTATTTCTCTATCTATCTTATCTACCCTATCACCTATCTACCCCATCATCTAACTCTATTTATTTATTTATTTTTTTTTTTTTTTGACAGGCAGAGTGGACAGTGAGAGAGAGACAGAGAGAGAAAGGTCTTCCCTTGCCGCTGGTCCACCCTCCAATGGCCACCGCTGCAGCCGGCGCACCGCGCTGATCCTGGCAGGAGCCAGGAGCCAGGTGCTTTTCCTGGTCTCCCATGGGGTGCAGGGCCCAAGCACCTGGGCCATCCTCCACTGCACTCCCTGGCCATAGCAGAGAGCTGGCCTGGAAGAGGGGCAACCGGGACAGAATCCGGTGCCCCGACCGGGACTAGAACCCGGTGTGCCGGCGCCGCAAGGTGGAGGATTAGCCTATTGAGCCACGGCGCCGGCTTAACTCTATTTATTGATCTCTCTCTTTTGTGCCATTTTCCAATGAATAAAGAAATCTTAAAAAAGAAAAAAAATAAAGAATTCCCAAGGGTAGATGACTTACAGAGACCTTCACTTTGTCCAAAAACCTCCTCTTTTTGTCGCTACCCTCCCCACCCAGCATGGACTACCATTACAGAGGCTCCCTTGTAAATACTCCAAGTCCTTTGTTCTCCTTGTCCTCACTGCACTACTCCAGCAAGCACAGATGGGCCTCCTGGTGCACAGGCCTTTTCCATGTCCACCCCCACACAGCTGAGCATTGCCAGGGAAAACACCATGGCACAACTGGGTATATGGGTGTCCTCAGAAATTCACGCTCACCGGTACAAGTGTACCCTCAACATGGCCCACAGTCCTCTCTGCACCAGTAGTTTGTTCTCTTCTCTTTCCAAACACTCCAGGTGTCAGGTTAAACACACTTGTCAGAGAAGCCATGAAATACAAGGTGGCCTCTCGCTCACGTCCTCACAGTCCTTGGCTGTCCTCTGTCAGAGGCTCATCAGAGCTATTTACACCAGGGCACTTCAAAAAATTTTTGTGGGAAAATGGAAATAAAATATATGTGTATTTTTGTGCAAAAAAAAATTGAAATCCATGCACAGAGTGTTCTTCAAAGAGTTCATGGAAAATACGTATGATGGAAAACTGTTCATGAACTTCAAATCTTCAGGGACTGGCATGTGGCACAGCAGGTTAAGCCTCTGCCTGTGATGCCGGCATCTTATATGAGCACCCATTCAAGTCCTGGCTACTCTGCTTTAGATCCAGCACCCTGCTAATGCGTCTGCAACAGCAGCAGCAGATGGTCCAGGTACTTGGGTCTCTGCCACCCAAGTGGGAGACATGGATTGAATTCCTGGCTCCTGGCATCAGCCTCGCCCAGTCACTGCCATTGTGACCATTTGGGAAGTGAATCACCAGATAGAAGATCTCTTTCTCCGTCTCTTCTTTTCTCTCTCTGACTCTGCCTTTCAAATCAATCAAATAAGTAATTTTTTTTTTTTTAAGATTGATTGATTGATTTGAAAGGCAGAGTCAGAGAGAGAGAGAGAGAGGTCTTCCATCCGCTGGTTCACTCCCCAAATGGCCATAGCGGCTGGAGTTGAGCCAATATGAAGCTAGGAGCTTCTTCTGGGTCTCCCATCGGGTGCAGGGACCCAAAGACTTGGGTCATCCTCCACTGCTTTCCTAGGCCATAGCAGAGGGCTGGATTGGAAGTGGAACAGTCGAGACTCGAACCCTCACCTATATGGGATACAGGCACTGCAGACAGCAGCTTTACGTCCTACGCCATAGTACCGGCCCCTCAAATGAGTCTTTAAAAAAATAAATTTCAAATCTTCTTTTGCACCAAAATAAATCTCTCTTAATTGTAAGAACAAACACTTTCATGTGTCCTAGTGTATGGATGGATTCATTTATTTGTATGTAATCTGTCTCCCTCACTCTGTAAGCCTAACGCCGATACAGCTCAGTAGATTAAACCCAGTGCCAGGCACAAAGCAGAGTCTCAGCTCACACCGGTGGAGGGGGTGACTAGAGGGAGGTGCCCTGGCCTCCACGACTGTGCTCCTGTGACAGGGAGGCTTCTACCACGTCGTGAGGAAACCCTCTGACTCCAGGACTCACCACTCTCAGTTCCCCCTCTGGAGCCCTGATGTGTATGGAAAGGGGCTCTAGTTCCCACCAGCACTGCTGCAAATCTGTGTGCAGTAAAGACTCGGAGATTCTAAGGCCCTCATCTCTAGTAATCTTACTGTCACTTGCAGGCAGAGGTCGCCACAAAGAAGGAAAAGCCCAGCACCCGGTCATTAGGAGGTCCTGAGTCTTCCTGTGTGTCTTAGGTCCCCGGTCACCCCTTTGGCCGTCCTATGTCACCAGGGACCATCGTGTAAGTACTCTACAGGGCAAGTGACAGACACTGCCCCACCCACCAGGACAGCCCCTGCCTGTAGGCTATATTCTCTTCACAGTCCTGGAAAAAAGTGATTCCCAGACCTCAGTACTATACCCCACAGGTGGAAAATTACTTAGAATTGCAGAGTCAGCGTTTTAACCCAATGACTGTGGCTTTTTTTTTTAGAAAAATATATTTATTTAAAAGACAGAGGGAGGCTCTCTCTCTCTCTCTCACTGTCCACTATGCCTGTCAAAAAAAAAAAAAAAAAAAAAAGACAGAGGGAGGGAAAAGAGAGGAGGAGGAGAGAGAGAGAATCTTCCATCCACTGGTTCACTCCCCAATGCCTGCAATGATTGGGGCTGGACCAGACTGAAGCCAGAAGCCATGAACTCCATAAGGGTCTCTCACATGGGTGCAGGGGCCCAAGCACTTGGGCCACTTTCTCCTGCTTTCCTAGGCTCATTAGCAGGGGGCTGCATTGGAAGTGGAGCAGCTGGAACTCAAACCTGTGCTCCAGTAGTTGGGTGCTGGTGTTGCAAGCAGCAGTGTAACCCAGCTGTACTACAACACTGGCCCCAGTGACTACATTTTAAAGATAAAGAGGCCAGAGCAAGGAAGAGAAGCAACGCACTCAAGCGCATGGGAGAAGCTAGGGACAAATCCCAGAGTACCCAGGATGCAGAGCCCCAGTTCGCTGGCCTGCTCAGCAGTCCCGGCTCCATCTCACAGACCAGGAAGACCGGCAGAGAGCAGCTTCTGCAGGAGGAGTGGGTGCAGGGACAGGCAGAGGCGAAAGCCAAGCAGAGGCCGCGCATCTCCCACCTGGTAGCTCCCTGTCCTTGAAGGGGTCATCCACCTCGGCGCTCTTGGCTCTGGCGTCGCTCTCACAACTGGGCATCACGTAGCTGGGAGGAGAGGGGGAGAGAGAGTTGGGAGGGGCTGGCGACTGAGCCCTGCTCACCCACGGCTGCCCAGTGTTGTCACCAAGCCTGCAGTACCCAGGTCGGCCAGCAAAACCTCCCGTTATTGCCCAGCAGCCACAGACAGCTCCAGCAGAGAGGCTCCCGTTGATGCCACTTTAACCACTCAAGCACAACCATCGTGTCACCTTAGGTCTACACACAGGATCTTTTTTGAAACAGAAAACTGACATTCAGAGGTCAAGTTCTTTTCCAAGGCCCCCAGCAAGGAAGGAGCAGATCTGTGACCAGAATCCACATTCCAGAGTCTTTCTACCAGACCCTCATTTGTTCCCCTACCGTCTCCACTGCCACCAAACCAGGGCAGGGAAGCTGGGAGGTGCCGGAGGGACAAGAAGCTGGCCCGCTTGGCCCAGGACCCAGTCTGAGCTGCAGGACAGGCTCTGCGTGGGCTTACCGTGTGGACGTCCCGGGCAGCGGGCGCCCTGTATCCACCAGCACACACCAGCAGTAGCCAGTAGACTGGTGGCACTGCACCGGCTTATAGAGGCCCCCAGGGGCACACTCCGGAATGACAATGCCCTCGCGGGGATTCTGCCGGGCCTCTTCCAGGGCGCTCTGCCTTTCCTGGTCACAAGAGTGGACTTTCTCTGCAAGAGAACAGACAGCCTGGCCGTGACTCTCACTCCTGCGACTTACCACTGCCGTCTGCTCTGCCCGGCACCCTAAGTACATAGCAAGAACTAGGCCTGGCCCCAGGCAACTGATGGGTTGGCTGGCAAATCAGCAGAGAGCGAGCTGTGTCTCCCACACCAGACAGGTGAGAGGGCTGGATGCCCAGACCCTCTCTGTGGCCACCTCTACTGCCAGCCCTCAGCCTCCCTGCCAACAACAAGCCAGCCAGGGCCTCCTGGGCTGCCCCTTCTTAGAGCAGCAGTTTGCCCTGGGGCTGGAACTTTCTCCCTGCTGTCAGCTTGGTTCCTACCGATGCATGGTCTACGGGCTGCAGGAGAGGCAGGGGCAGGAGCCTGGTTGGCCTGCACAGGAAAGCCCAGGCATGTGGACACTGCCAAGCCTGGACGCAGTAGGACAGAGACAAGGCCACTGGCCTCCTGTACAGGGATGCTCCAGGAGGAGAAGAGGAGGGGCCAAGTCCAGCTCTGCCCCAGTGGGACAAAGTAGGCTGAATGGCATTGATCTGACTCCGCGCTGCATCCATCCAGTGGCAATGAGAACAGGTCCGGGGGCAGGGGACTGCACTCAGGAACGTAGGAGCGCATGAGCATGGCTCAACTGCCACACTTGGTTGCCCCTGAGCCAAGGCCACACCGAAACAGGGCCTTGTGCTAGGCATGGCCAGCCCAAGGGGGCCTCACACCTGCTTGGCCCCTTATCTGAAAATGCCCGTCAACCTGCCTGGCTTTGCTTAATTTGGTGGTGTTGTTTCAAGTATTAAAAATAAGTAGCGCTGGGTTTCTTATTATAAAGAAATTTTTAAAAAGGGAAGTTTCAAAATCCCATAATCCTATCAAAGTTAAACACCATGACTTCCCTAGACTTTCTGCTGTGGACACAAAAGGACAGGTCCAACAGCCCATGGGAAAATGGAGTTAAAGATAAGTTCATTTCAGTGCAAAGTCTTTGAAATCCACACGTAGCTTTTCATAAATGCACTTCCCAGGAACTTTCTGAAGACCGCAGGACACACAGGCACACACAGTAACACACACTTTTTTTTTTTTTTTTTACAATGAAAAAGATCACATCATAAGCTATACTATTACCTTATCTTCATTTAATTAATTCATTTACTTACCATATTGTGACTTTTTAAAAAATATTATTCAGGGGCCAGCGCCGTGGCTCACTTGGCTAATCCTCTACCTGCAGTGCCAGCATCCCATATGGGCACCGGGTTCTAGTCCCGGTTGCTCCTCTTCCAGTCCATCTCTCTGCTGTGGACCGGGAGGGCAGTGGAGGATGTCCCAAGTGCTTGGGCCCTGCACCTGCGTGGGAGACCAGGAGAAGCACCTGGCTCCTGGCTTCAGATTGGCACAGCGCCGGCCGTTGCAGCCATTTGGGGGGTGAACCAATGGAATAAAGACCTTTCTCTCTGTCTCTCTCCCTCACTGTCTAACTGTGTCAAATAAATAAAAAATAAAATAAAATAAAAAATTTAAAAAGATAAAAATATTATTCTACAACTTTGCTCTTGAAATTGACAGGAATCCCAGGGAATTTTTGCAGAGTGTTACAAAAATACCATTCTTGACGCAAGTTCTTGATATCAGCAGCCTGGAGACCCACACCACTCCCTGACAACAGCAGAAAAGATCAAAATCACAGAAACTCAGCTCCACCTTAAAGGACCCTGACTCCTTGAAATAATGGCTCTGCTGGGTTCTTCAAAAAGTTCATAGAAAGTAGAATTAAAATAGGATTTAATTTGGTGTAAAATGTTTGAAATTCACACATGGAGGGGGATCCTTAAAAAGTTCATGGAAATTGTATATTAAGAAAAAAAAGCGGCCGGCGCCGCGGCTCACTAGGCTAATCCTCCGCCTAGCGGCGCCGGCACACCGGGTTCTAGTCCCGGTCAGGGCGCCGGATTCTGTCCCGGTTGCCCCTCTTCCAGGCCAGCTCTCTGCTGTGGCCAGGGAGTGCAGTGGAGGATGGCCCAGGTGCTTGGGCCCTGCACCCCATGGGAGACCAGGAAAAGCACCTGGCTCCTAGCTCCTGCCATCGGATCAGCGCGGTGCGCCGGCCGCAGCGCGCCGGCCGCGGCGGCCATTGGAGGGTGAACCAACGGCAAAAGGAAGACCTTTCTCACCTGTCTCTCTCTCTCACTGTCCACTCTGCCTGTCAAAAAAAAAAAAAGAAAAAAAGAAAAAAAAGCTATGCATGGATTTCAAAGATTTGTGTCAAAATAAACATTTTTTTTTAAGATTTATTTTATTTCTTTGAAAGACAGAGTTACAGAGAGAAGTAGAGACAGAGAGAGAGGTCTTCCATCTGCTGGTTCACTCCCTAAGATGGCCACATGGCTGGAGCTGCGCCAATCTGAAGCCAGGAGCCAGGAGCTTCTTCTGGGTCTCCCACGCGGGTGCAGGGACCCAAGGACTTGGGCCATCTTCTACTGCTTTCCCAGGCCATAGCAGAGAGCTGGATCGGAAGTGGAGCTGCTGGGACTAGAACCAGCGCCCATATGGGATGCTGGCGCCTTAGGCCAGGGCATTAACCCATTGCGCCACAGCGCCGGCCTCCAAAATAAACATGTTTCAATTCTGTTTTTCCACAAACTTTTGGGGCCACCTCCCGTATAGGAAAAGCACATATGCTTGAACAATCTGCAAGTGTGTGCACAGGGCACAAGGTAGCTCAACGTGGTTTTAGAGAGAAGTCAGATGAAAAAGCCGCTCTTCGTCTCCCAGTCAGGAAGAATACGACAGACAGCAGCCCAGCGATGCTCACTGCGGGGTAAGGCGATACTTCCTCGGGGCACAAACATATTTGAGGGCCAGGGGGCAGGGATGTGTAGCACATTCACTTCTTCTCCTCCTCCTCCTCCTTCTTCTTTTTAGAATTTTTTATTTATTTGAAAGAGTTTCAGAGAAAGGTAGAACCAGAGAGAGAGGGAGAGAGAGGTCTTCTCTTCCACGGCTTTACTCCCCAAATGACCACAATGGCTGGAGCTGGGCTGATCTGATCTGAAGCCAGGAGCCAGGAGCTTCTTCCGGGCCTCCCACGTGGGGGCAGGGGCCCAAGGACTTGGGCCATCTTCTACTGCTTTCCCAGGCCATAGCAGAGAGTTGGATCGGAAGAGGAGCAGCTGGGACTTGAACAGGTGCCCATATGGGATGCTGGCACTGCAGGCTGCGGCTTTAACCTGCTGTGCCACAGCGCTGGCCCCACACATTCACTTCTAAAAGATAGTCTGACTTTGGAAAATGAAAAAATAATCTCTTGTTTTCATAATGGAAGCACACAGAGCTGAACAGAATCCCACTGGCTATAGGAAGGTGAAAAGCATCGGGGTCGGGATTCTGCCCGCAGCCCCAAGTAAGCCCCACCAGAGCAACACTGAGGGGCTGCTCAGGAAAGAGAGAAACAGTGGCAGAGGGGCCCGCAGGAATCTGCCTCAAAGATTCTGACTTCAGCCCCTGGCCAGGGTGGTGCCATGGCAACTTAGAGGTTTTTTCAACAGCTCCCACCAACCCCAATTTGGTAGCCTTATTTTCCTACCTCGTATTTCACCCCATGAAAGAGGAGACAGAAGAGCAAAACCAAAGGAAAACAGCTTCTTACTGGTGCCCACGTTCGGGTAACAACCTCTGACAGGCTTTAAATTAGGACTCTGCAGGCCGACCTTCTCAAGTCGTAAATCAGACTGAGGGCCAGATGCAGAGAGAGAGCAGGGGAGGACACTTCCCGGGGCCCAGCGAGCGATGAACTGACTTCACTCCCCCGGGGGGCCCGCAACCCACCGACACGTGCACCAGGGCCATCCTGGGGGTGCACGTGCTTGGTGTCGGCCCTCCTAATGCAGTTCAGGAAGTCCTTGAAGACTGTTCTGAAATGCTTAAAGTCAGCTTCTGTAAAGTTCTAGAGAGAATATAGTCATAAAAGGATAAAGCTCCCTAATGTGGAAGCATGCTGATCAGCATAGTGTTAGAGAGAAGGCTGAAGGCGGGGCTTATACTTGATGTTAATTTCCCCATTTTGTTCTTTATGAAGCCCTTTAAGAAAGAGACAGGGATGGTTTGTCACAACAGCACCAACCGCTGAGGAGCACACAGTTCGTTTTCCAACAAAGAGAAAATCTCTCTTGCAATCATGTTTACCCTAATAACCACACAAGCAGATTCGTAAAATGTGCCGGGCAAGAGACTAAGGGCTGTACTTGTCTTGTCTCTTTGCCTAGCCGAGATAAACAAGGAAGCTTAACTTGGGAGAGATTCGTGAATTTTCCCAAGTTCACCCAGCAGGAAGAGAGGAGGGCTAAGGATTCCAGTCTAGGGCTTCGGATGGTGAAGCCCAAACTGCTAACCCGAGACGTCATCACCGCTCACCAATCACTGTGGGGGAGACGCACTTACTGTTGCAGGGAGCTCTTTGCAGACTCCCCCAGATCTGCTGTGCTGGGCACAGCCTGGCTGCTTCTTAATTGACGGTTCCCTCCCTGCTGACAGTCTCGTGCCTGAGTGCTTCTCTCTCTTTGCCTCAGAACTGGAAAACTCAAAACCGCATCTGTAACTCTCCCAGCACGAGAAAACTGTAAATTGAGCAACTTAAATAAGCGACCCTTCTTTGGGTATTTACCGTGTGCCAGACTCAGGATGAGGCACGTGTGTTAACTCATTTCAGGCTCGTCGGAAGGCTTTAGGAGACGTGTGGCTGTGATCCTCGCTGAACAGGAGGATGCCAAGACAGATCGGCCAGTTCCATCCAGGTCAGACAGCCACAGGAAGTGGCAGAGCTGGGAGTCTAACCCGCCTCCGGTCTTTACCTCTGCAATATCCTCTCATTGCCATAGGCAAGTCTGACTTTCACTCCGGCCTATATCTTCCTTTACCAGTATGGTGGCTCATTGCAAAATGACCCCAGTGACTGCACCTGACCTCAGGCCCTTGTGTAGACTCCGCCACATTGA